GTTTAGGGTTTAGGGTTTACGGAAATAATAGGGTTTTAGGGTTTAGGGGTGAGGGTTTCGGGTTTAGGGTTTAGGGTTTCGGGTTTAGGGGTTCTGGATATTGCATGATAGCTTGGTTTAGAGCCTAGGGCAGGCTTGAGGATTCAGGGTTAACAGACAGGGGCTCACTTCCCCCTTTAACTGTGGGTTTAGGGTTTAGGGTTTAGGGTTTAGGGTTTAGGGTTTAGGGCTCTTAATTTGTAGATCTAATTCGCGAGACTCCCTAGACGCCGAATGCCTTGAAGCCCAAGAAGGCAAAAGGTGTACCACTTGCATCATCCGGGGGGCCCATCGTAGGGCCGGGGACATTCACCGTCGTTTTGAGGAGTTGGGTATAGGAGCTCGCGGAGTAGGCATCTCCTCGAAAGTCGGGGCTTTGGAGGAAAAGAGGAAAGGTCGGAATCTCCAGTTAGGGACACCTCATGTGGGGGCCAACCCTCGGTACACGCATAAAAATCACCCAAGCCCTAAACCCTAAACCCTAAACCCTAAACCCAAACCACCAACCTCATCCTCACAACCTGAGCCCACTTAACCCTCAGTCGCGCAAACACCCTACGATCTTCCCCCCATAGGACGAAGACCCTCTTGGTTAAAGGGTTCTCTGTTGGGAGGGTACTAGAGCCTCTAGGGCCCTACATAGTAGGTACCTGGAGGGTTAGGGTATAAGCATAGCGGGTTTTGGGGCTCCCGGGCGTCAAAATTGGATCTTATGCTCCGCTGTGGTCGCCTAAACCCTAAACCCTAAACCCTAAACTGAAGTCTCCTTGAGGTCGCACTTCCAGCATGAACCTTGCGTTTTAGGCTCTGTGGTCTATCGGGCTTTGGCATGGGCTTGGGTTTTTTTGCCTCCTACTTAGCAAGGACGAGCCCGCACTGCAGGGGTTTAGGGTTTAGGGCTGGGGTTTAGAGCTTAGGGTTTAGGCAGTATGTAGGGTTTCTAGATTCTGGGGCTTGCTGCCTAGAGTCTTCGAGGGCATTAACTATGGGTACAGTCTATCACGCAAACTTCTAGCTACAGGTGCTTGTGCACTTCTTGGTGTCGCTGCCCATGATGTCGTCATTGCACTTTGGTATGTCAGTGGTTGGTCTTAGTCTACAGTCAGGGTAGCATGTGCCCGTTGCCGTCACTGAATCTTCATGTTGGGGCAAGCTCGTGCTGGTGACATTATGTATACGTGCTGTCGCTTCCGGCTTGCTTTAAAACCTCTCCTCGGCAACCACTGACCCAAACGGCTCGTCGAAAGAGCGTTGTTGCTTGACGCACTACTGTCTCCCAAAATCCGACGCCCTGATGTAATTCCTGGTTGTTGTTGCACCAGCCCCGGCCGGGCTGCCTTCCTGCGACAAAACACTGGATACGTACATGTCGCGCTTGCCAGGTGTATTGAATTCTTAAGATGAGCCCTTAAGATTACGTGGTGTATATACGAAGGTTTGGACAACTGTCCACCTCGTTTCTGGTGTCTAAGTTCTCTTCTGAACCTCAACCCGGCGCATGTCCAAGACTCAAACACAATTTAAGCCCTGAGAAATGGCCGCCGGAGTTTCGAAACTTTGTTGAATTTGGAGCTGACGGATAAGAGTTTGTTGGGCAGCCGTTGGGCGTTTAGGGAGAGCTTGTCTGAGTAGTTGAGTGGTTTGGTATTTTGGTGGTGTTAGGATTTGGGAGTTTCCGAAAATAGGGGACCCTAATATAGTACCCTAAATAATAGGATCCTTATTATAAGGATCCCAAAATAAGGTACCCCTAATATTCGGAACCCCCCCCCCCATTTTTTACCGGATCATAAGGTGCGATCCGAGGAGCTTGACAGTAAGCGTGTCGTTGTCCACCCAATCCGACCGAAGCAGCTGCTGGTGACTCAACCCAAAGATACCCATGCCTGGTTTAGGGTTTAGGGTTTAGGGACTCAACCCAAAGATACCCATGCCTTGGCTTTTTGCAGGGGTTGTTGAATTCTGAGGTTGAGTCACGGCGTTCGATGTTGCCTAATGCTTTACGGTTTAGGGTTTAGGGTTCAGGGTTTAGGGTTTAGGGTTTAGGGTTCTGCGTTTCTGCTTAGCCTTTGGGGTGTGGGACTTCTGGCCGCTTTGCTTGCAACTAGCTCGGTGTCTAAAGCCCCTCCGGACAGATAACACAAATAGCGCTCGTTACATTGCTTCTCCCTGTGGAGAAATACTGGTATTATGTGGAGAGCCCATATTTGGGCTTTAGGGCTTATTCACGACCTTGTTGTGAGCTTAGTGGAATGATAAAGTGCCTTCGTGAAAAAACTGTGTTGGCTCTAGTTTTAGGTCGGGCTGGTATTAAAAAATGTGAAGTTCTATTCCTTATTGACTTTACGTACCCAAAAACATGTAAAATGTATTAAAATGTTACCCAATCATGACAAAGTCACGGGCTGTCAACTTGAAGCATGGTCTAGCGTTGCGACATGTGGCTTAAAGCTGCAACCGCAAGCAGTGCAACATGAGCTGTCCTTTTCGCATACCCGAGCCCGTTCGACTTGTAAAGACCAAGAACCGAAAGAAAGAAAGCTACAATTTATCTTAAGATTTAGGGTTCTTACCTCTGAAATCCTTGCTTTGATGCCCTTAAAAACATAGCTCTTTTGGCGGATTCAACTAAATCCTCAAGGCCATCAGCCTTAGACCACTTCTAAGCTTTTCTGGGACACTAAAACTTCACCAAAGCCTCTGTACCCTCCGGTTCGGCTATCAGAGTTGAGGAGATTTTAAGGCTTCAGAGTTTCAGTGTGTTTTCGGGTTCAACTTTGGGAATGGCACTCATCTTGAGGGATTCTCGAGTAAGCAGCTCTTCGAGCGCAAGCATCTTTCCGAACTTCCCTCCTTTCTGTAGGGGTCTTAATAATTAGAATAAGGGTTTCGACTCCTCTATAATATCATACACTTACAGTAAGTACCCTGCAGAACACGCTGGTGATTCTTCAGGCTTCCATAATATCCCCAAACCCTTCGCCACTCTTCTAAGATGACGAGGACAAGATGCTGGTAAGTGATGACGGGCGGGAACCCGGCTCGTGCACGTCCGGGCCATACTCCCAGGACTCATACTCCTTCGGGGTTTCTCAGGGTGCACAGGCTTCGGCTTTAGGTCATTGAGGGTGCGTCTGGGGAGGATGTGGATTACAAGTACTCATTATGCCGGCCGCTATAGTATCCTCCCAGCGCCTTTGGCAGAAGCCCAAAAGTTGGAAACCCAATAGCCTCAATCCAAAAGAGTAGGGAATCCCAGCACTATTTGTCCTTAATCCGGTTTCCAACTTCTTGGGGTTTACTATATGGTATGCCCCGAAGACAGCCTTGATCTCAGCATCCAAGAGCATACTGAGCCCGCCATACTCAGAAGACAAAGGAAGCTTGGTCCATGGCTAAGTCGGTCAAAGACGAGGCTCACAGCAACATGCTAAATAATATAGGGGCCTTCATAATCAGAATAGGGTTTGAGGTATATGGTACTGTAATTATAATAAGGAGCCCCTAACACCCTATTCTAATCATCAAGGCCCCTACAGTACTTAGCCCCAAACCGTGAAGCCCCTTATCAAGAGTCCTCTTTCCATTCTTGGAACTCATCACGCGTCTCACCCCACTGCACAAACTTGCCACAACGGGCTTTCACGAAAATGCGGTAGCCTAGATGGTAGTTCCAGGGCCCCAAAGAACGTCGATGAATAGGTACCCCTATAAGACCTTAACCTGTTAAAGGAGCCAAACAAGTATCCCAAAGTGCCACCACGTAGCGAAATGCAATGCGACTGCCCCAGCAGCGTATGACCAGGGTACCGTTCTGTTCGTCTTCAGCTGTGCCCCCATCTGGGTTGTAGCCGAAATCGAACTCTCCGTCTGCGACTCGGAAAACTTGGGACCACACCTGTAATGTAGGCCCTAAGACCTAAACCCTAAACCCTAGGGGCCTTACAAAATTAGACGAAGGTTCTCGGGTATGTTGTACGACAATAATTATCAGGAATTCCCAAATAGTTTTGGCAAGTGTTCAGGCATCGACAATATAGTCTATACTAGCCTAGTAGCCAAGTTGCCTATGCCTGGCTAACTTCTACCGCTAGTGCAAGCCGGTAGTTCGAGGTGCGCATGTCGAGATGGAAGTAGGACTTGCCGACCGTGGCACAAGAACCAACAAGGACAGTGATGCGAAAACCCCTTGAACCAGATCGTGCCGACAGCCATGACGTGAAAGTACGTAATCGTTATGAAGGCGACCAACAAGTTTCACCATCATTGGCACGATGTTTCCCAAGCTGCATTCTCAGAACAGAACTAGGAATCTGAACTTAATGATATCATTACCCAATCTACATACTTACGATTCGATAGCCCTACTGCTAAACTGCTACGCCTTAAAAACCCAGACCCCAAAGCATTAAACGCTTTGAACCTTATTGCAGAACCTTCTAGATTCCTATAGAACTTTGCTACAACCTATTCAATAGCCAAAGCTGCTCCATCCATATCTTCCTGCCGAAGCCATGCTCTTAGCCAGGATAGATGTTCGAGTCTCCAAACCTTAGAGTTCTTAGCGGCTAGAATAGGGTTTAGGGGTGTCAGGGGTTTAGGGGAACAGGGTTTAGGATGTTCGAGGTTTTAAAGGTAAAGAGGAGTCGTGCGAACTAGAATGGGGTTGTTTTCAAGTTCCTTTCCAGGGGTCTGCAAGGGTACCTATTCGAGTATAGAATGACTGACTGTCTGAAGATTCGAACCCGGTTTTCCGTGTATTATACAACAATTGCCCTAAACCCTAACCCCTAAACCCAAGGACCCTATCAGGGAAGACATGGCAAGACGATACCTTGGAAACAGGGGCTTAAGCCGTTTCTGGTGCTGTTTGTGAGTGTTCTAGGGTTTACACGGTTTGGGGGTAATTAAGCTCTGGAAGACTTACCGAACTGTCCAAAGGAGGCTAAGGGTTCTTAAGCTGGGGCTTTGGGAGATTCGGGTTTCTGAGCTTAGGGCCTACGGTTTGAGTTTCAGTCCCAGCTTCCTCCCCCAGTCGCCCCCTTCAGGTAGGGCTTGCCTGTTGGCATACTTGCTCTTTCACGGGGAATCTCCGTCGAAGGAGAAATAAAAGAAAACTGGTACTACTTGGGGGTTTCCGAAAATAGGGGACCCTAATATAGCACCCTAAATAATAGGATCCTTATTATAAGGACCCCAAAATAAGGTACCCCCCTGATTTTCGGAAACTCCCACTTGGGAACCCAGAGACATACTCGAAGCTGGATACCAGGTTTCCGAAATCGATACTTTCTCCGCAGCTCTCTTGGTGCTGGCTCTTGGTGCTCTTGGGCCTAATGGGCAATCCTTCAGGAAGATGCGGCCCGAATTGGTCGGTATCCACCCATCTTCGTTTCTGCTCATGCATCGCATTCTTCCGTCTCTGATCCAGCAGAGCCTTGCTATGCTTGTCGAGCTCCCTTCGCAGACGCTGGCGCTCATTGGCCTGCTCCACTTCGGCTGTGAGTGTCCGCTCTCTGGCCTGTTCCTCCTCCATCCTTTGCTTGGCCGACTCAATCGCCGTCCGGAGGTCTTCCACGCTGTCGACGGGGTCTGCTGATCGCGATGACAACGCCATGGCTGGGAACAGGTCTCAAAACTCAGGATGGCTCTTACAAGTATGAAAAAGAATCTGTGCACGCGAGCAGTTCGCATAGCTGCCCGAGCCTTGCAGAAGGTACAAAGGTGCCGCACATACCAGAACAGCTTGAGACTCAGACGGCGTCACCACATCAACATATTGGAAGCAACCTCACTACACGCATGGGAATGTCGTTGACCACTTCTCTGCGTGCCTAAGTCCCCATCTCGAGTTGACACGGGGAACCGAATCAAAAATGAGACACACCACATAATGTCGGAGCCAGACTCATTAGGAACAGGGTGTTGGGGTGTTGGGGGGAGGGCATATTATAATTCAACTAACTGCAGTAAGGAGCCCTAAGACTTTGTATTGAAATTAGCCAGGCTTCTGCATTCATGACGAGAGGAGAGCGGCTGCGAGACAGCATCTTGCAGCTTGCAGGAGCTAATATGGATACCCTTTTGAAAAGGGATCTATAAGGCTTGCTATAAGGGTTCTTACTTACTATACCGGGGGCTTAGAAATCAGAGTAAATGCTTATGGGGCGTGTTATAATAGAAGTAGAATAAGGAGCCCTCAAAGATGATCTTGGTTGTTGATGTGATGCAGGGGCCTTAATAATTCGAATAGGGTTTGGGGGGTATAATGTACTATAAGTATAATGATAAGGAACCCCCCAAACCCTGTTCTAATTATTTAGCCCAGTGCATTAGGCTGCTATATTACCACGACAAAGACTGCACCTCCATCAGGTTAAGTAAGTGCAGAGTTCCTAAATCTCACCTTCAACACGCCAGGCCCGTTGAATACGGATTCACATCGAAAGCTAGCACCCTGAAGGGGAGACAACTTGCCTGACGTTTGAAATGAGAATGGGTCTATGGACAAACCTGACACCAACTCGGAGTGGCGCTCCATCTTTGACAGATGCGGTTCACGGGTCTCCGTATTTACCTACCGCATCCTGCACATCTTTGCCGCGTCCTACAGATTTCATGGCCTACTAGTACTCACCAAGACACAAGCTCAAGCAGATTCTGGCAAGGACCCTAAACCCTAAACCCTAAAAATCCTTAACCCTAAAAACCCTGAACCCTAAAAATCCCTAAACCCTAAACCCTAAAAACCCTAAACCCTAAAAACCCTAAACCCTAAACATCCCTAAACCCTAAAAACCCTAAACCCTAAACATCCCTAAACCCTAAACCCTAAAAACCC